GGAAAGAATACCAAAATCAAGAACACATATACATATGTGGTGGCAGTATAAATATGTAAATAATTTTTGGGGGAAAGTATTTAGAGAGATAGAGGATATAATGAACATTAAAATAGAAAGAAGTCCTAGTATAGCTTTATTATCATTATATAACAATAAGCAGCTAAAAAAGAGGATAACAAACTTATTAACAATTGCAAGACTGCTTATAGTAAGGAATTGGAAAAGGGAAATACATATACAAATAGAGGAGTGGTATAAGGAAGTATGAAAATTGGCAATAAATGAAAAGCTGACATTGTAAATTAAAAGTTACAAGAGGAATATGGAAACAAAGTGATTTTGATGATGTTTGGAGAAAATTTATTGAAAAGGGATTCAGAAAGAAAGACAGAAACTTACTTCCACAGGAGGACATGAAATCTGGACAGATGATATATAAAAGGCTCGGGGAGAGGGGAACACTTTGGTGAGGGATAGAAAATATGTATAAGCGTAAAAATAACAATACATGCTGAAAGTTAAAGTCTTGTAGATTGTATTGAATATTATGTGTCTGCTGTAAAACTAATGATGAATAACAAATGTATTGAATTATGATAAAATAAATAAAAATATATTTCAAAAATACACTAACTTCTCTCTCATTGAACCCTGTTAGAGAGGATGGATCATAGGTGATGATTACTGGAAGGAAAAATCTACTAGAGTTTTTATGCCATTCAATTAAGGTTTGCTTTTGGAATAAAAATATATTTTTTCAAGATGTGACTGGATGAATCCATGCACACCGAATCTATGGATACAGAGGCCTGACTGTACATCTTTAGGTATAAATAATCTATTTTTTAAAAAAACAAATATGGGAGGGAGAAATATTGAAGCATGTCCTCCCTCATCAAAGAGAAAGAAAGAGGCATGCCACTCCAGGCCGTTTTTTCTTTTTTCTTTTACAAGAGGGCAGTCACTTAAGTAACTCTGACTGAACCAAATATTATCTACCCAAAACGTGTTGTTGTTGTTGTTTTTATACTGGTGGCTAACAACAGAGCTAAAAACAAACAGGAAAGGAAGGCAAAAGATCATAATCCCTCTGTCCAAGACACCTCATTCCTAGTTGACAAGAATAGCAAGAACAAATGCAGAAAATGCTCCTTTGCAACTTCTAGAGAGCGGTTTCACCATGTTTCTCCTGACCTGAGCTTTTTTAGAATGAAAAAATAAAGCTGAATTAACTTTGTAGTTAAAAAGAGGCCTCTCATGGGACTAAAGTAGCCTGTAGACCTTGGAAAGTTGCAGTTTTTTATATTGTTGGGAGTCTCAAAACATGGGCTTCACATGTAGCCTGAAGTTTCTCCTTCCTGGATAAGATCCAGATTTAGGGTGCATCTACACCAGTTTGACACCACTTTTAACTACCATGGTTATCCTTTGCAATAATATGATTTAAATTGGTTGTGAATTACTGTCAGTGCCACTGATCTGAACACATCTGCTTTAGTATTATTCAAGTAGCTCATACAAATTGAAGAAGCCTGGCATTCCTAATATAGTTCACAACTGTGTCTTGTTTTGTCTGCATAAAGCTGCATGATGCAAATACATATGCTTTGTCCCCTGCCTCCCAGCCTTTATTTTGTTTAGCACTCAGCCTCTTTTAATAATTCCCCGTATTTGGTTCAAATAGTTTTGTTCCACTTTTAATAAAAGGATATAATTGGGTATGTTCATCCACATTTCAGTGTACACCTTTAAGGCCAACTACTCCAACTAGACGTGTTAAAGCACTTCCCCAACTAATAAGCCACTCTAGCACATCATTAACTTGTCACTACAATGATTCATTATATGCATTCAAAATGCTTTCTTTTAATTGCTACAAAATATACTTGCTTTTCTTTTGGCTATATTGTATATATTCCCCCAGGAGTCTTTTAAACCCATTATCTAAGTTTAACATGTTCAGTGATTGCAAATATGTGGCAATCATAATTTTCAATTAAGCATTTTTTTCAAAACAAAAATCTAAAATACTCCGTTTTCAGAAAAATCAAAAATCAAGATACATACCCGCTTCATGTCAAAACTAACTGCAGATCAAGTAGAAACTATTACTTTGTCATAGTATCTGTAAAACTTCCTTGCAATTTTTATTTCATACTCTATTATTAAATTAATATTACAAATTAGCAAGCAATTACATTTTTTCTCTTAATTTTAAAAGAACTGTTTGCTTAAAGTATATCGATCAACTCTTAATTAGGGACGTGGTATTTCTATCTGAAAGATTTCCACGCAGGATTTTCAGTGAGGCATTTAGTGAATGGTGATAGCTGCTTGATTGGATCCAGGGATCATCATCATCTCACAAAGTATGGAAGTTTGGCATGAGGACCTACAACGTCTAGATTGAAGGAAGATGGATTCAGAGCCCAATTCCATTAGCTGATTTATGCTGAGAGAATTGCAGGTTCTGACTTTTATTGTTTCATTTCAATCAATACAATCACATGAGATGTATATTCCTGAAATCAGAAGTCAAGTCTGCTGTTCCAACTTTATACATTTACACCAATAGTTCTTCAACAGTGGGCCGTGAGGACGAAAATCTGGTCTGCGAGCCTTTCCTCTTTATTTATATTATTTTATTTCCGCTCCTTTCGCACCGCCTGCCGCCCCTTCCCTGTCGTTGACTATGACATATGTTCTGTGTTAGAAACTAGAGCTGATATGGTCTATCCAATGCAATTTTCTGAATCAGAACCCCAAATCGGATCTAGTCAACCAAAAACCAATTCATAACTCTTTTGGTATGAATGTTGGAGAGTGGTCCCTGGTCAAAAAAAGTTTGGGAACCACTGATTTACACATATGGAATTTTAATGTTTTCTATGTGGAGATGAAATTAATGTATCCTTACCCACTATATTGAATTTTATAAAGGAGAAAAGTCCTATTCATGCCAAGTCACGGAGCTCACTCCAAGTAAATGGTATAAGACTATAATCTCATCCTTTGGTCTAATTTCTCCATGTGCCCAATGAACTCCATAGGACTTACACATACTTTTAATGTGCATTATTAAATTGATTGCAAACCACAGAAAAATTAAAATGTGGTAAGATTCTGCAAGCATTCATTCTTAATGTGTTGTCAAAGGCTTTTTCTGGTCAGAATCCCTGGATTGCTTTTGTTTTGTTTTATTGGTTTTTCCCACTCCCATCCTCCCCTCCTTGTACATGCAATCAAACTACATCAAACTACGGAAGTTACATTTGAAATATCAGTCTCAGTCTTAATTTTTCTACTCCACATCTTAACACATTCTCTAAATAATTCCTAACTGGTTCCCACATCCTCTTAGTTATTGTAACCTTTTCAATTTTATCTATATTATTCCATTTGCAATTTGTTATTTCCACATTTAACATATTAACTATATAGTTATACCAATTAATCAGTGTCCATTTTGTTTTATCTTTCCAACCCCTCACTAAAACAATTTGTGCACATGCTATTAATTTGTCAAGCAATTTTTCCTTTTGTATATTCTTCACTCCTGTTATCTGTGCATGTAGTACATTTCTATTAACTATTACTATTTGTAAATTTAACATTCTATTGATTTCCTTCAATCATTTTCCAGTATTCTTGCACTTGATCACATTCCCATATCATATGATTAAACACCCGTCTTTGTTCACAACCATGCTAACACCTATCCTTTATCCCTGGTACAAAGCATGAAAGTTGTGCAGGAGTTCTGTACCATTTTTGTAACATTTTCCTTCTTGCTTCCCTTAATACATTATACTTTTCTTTTGCTATATTACTTATTTCCCTTTGGATGTCTTCCCTCTCAATTTCCATGTCCAATCTCCATGTTTGGAAAATTTCCTCTATTATTTCTTCTTTTACTGTTATGATTTGGTCGTACAGATCTCCTGCCACTTTCTTCTCCCCTCTCAAACATTTCCTAATCACCTTCTCAAATGGACTATTCTGTTCTCTAATTTTTCCCCTCCGTCTAAAAATTTCCTGTCTTATAGTCCAGCTTTGAATCCAATTCCCTGACCTTATCCAATTCTGAATTTCTTTTTGTTCTACAGGGTTTCCATCCTCTGTATATAGATCCTCTACTAACCTTTTCACTCTACTTTCAATTAATCTCAATGTTCTGCCTATAATTTCATCATTATTATAATTCATTTGCCATACAGTTGCCATCTTATTCTCACTGCGGAATCCCTGGGCTGCTGTGAGTTTTCTGAGCTGTATGGACATGTTTCCAATAAACCTCACAACCTCTGAGCATGACTGCCATAGATGTGGGCGAAATGTCAGGAGAATGCTTCTGGAACACGGCCATACAGCCCGGAAAACTAAGAGACCTATTCATTCTTAAGCTGGTTAATGCAAGTTGACATAGTACTATGAGAAATTTATGAAAACATCAATCTCTCTGTGAATAATATTTTTGAAATTTGCCAGTCTGGTGCTTTTTTTTTTTTTTAAGGCTTTGAGCGTATAAATACATAGAATAAACACAAATGTATATTATTGTTGTTTTAAACTGTTTATTTTATGATTTTTATACTTATTAATGTATTTGGATGGTTGTTTACATGATTTTAATATGTTGCAAGCCGCTTTATGTTCCGTGAGGGAGAAAAGTGGGATATAAATAAAAAATGTTTATTATTATTATTATTATTATTATTATTACATAAACAATTGAGTAGGTTTGAATAGCCTTTGCAATTCTGAGATAGAGATATCAGTCTACTATGTTTAAAATAGTTTCATTTATTTTCATAATTTTCAAAATGTGCAATTGCAAATACCATGACAAAAATACTTCAACTGCAGTATGAGAACATAATACATGTACACTACCTCTAACACGCCTGTTTTAACTGTTTAGGAATCATCTCATTTTCAGTCATTCAAAGTTGTAAAATCATCAGGAATGTAAAATTTCAAGTTATAATATAGGCATATGTTTCCCATTTATTTCTGAAACTTGCTTTGCTGATATTTTTAGGAAGTATTAAGAAACAGACACAAAAAAGCCATGTTAAATCATACATTAATCTTAAATACAGAAAAGTGGCAGAAATTATTAAAACATTGCACGAAGATAGCACAACCAAACAAATATTTCAATGCAAACTTTTTTTAGGATTACAATCAAAAATATAATTTCAGTGTTACGTCTGTAAGCGCCTTTTTAGATTTTCCACATCATTTGCATTGATATCTTGCAAAATCACTACTCTTGCTTTTGCCTGGGAGGGACTGAATTCAATGGTCATCAGACAGCAAAGGTCTATCAGTTCTCTCTGGCAATTCTGCAAGCCCTCCTTAAGCTTTGAGGAATTGACAGGATCTTTCCGTAACTCTTTCATTTCGGGTACTGAAAACCCAATCAAGCTTGTTAAAATCTCATCAGCAAAAACAACGTCCAAATAAGCTGTGCCATCAGTTATTTTTGCTGCAACACTCCAGAAACCACCACTACTTGTCAGACTTCCAGAAAGAGTGACTATAAATGCTTTAATTTTCACAGCTGTAATATCCTTGGGCTTACTACTTAACAACACTGATAAATATGTAAAGGGAGGAGAATCCAAACCAATTGCAAGGTATTTGTTGTTTATTTTGCAAGTCTGTACACAGTCAGGAGATTGTTCAAATTCTGTATTACTGCTTGTTATTCTGATGTTAGAAATGCTGGATGACATTTCATTGCCTTTACTACTTGTCTCCTGAACAAGCTTGTTTTCAAAGCGATCATCCAAGTCCTGGGCGTGTTTTGCATTATGTTTTGCAGAAAAACCACCTGTGATTTCTTCAGATACATCTTCCATCCTTCCTTCTCCGTGTTTCTTTTCTCCTGGTGGCTGGCTCTCCATGCTAGTAACTCTGTTCAGAACTTGTCTCTCTTCCTGCTGGATCTCCTCTAGTAAAAACAGATCGTCATCTAATGGAAAGTCATCGAAGTCTCCTTCCATGTTTTGTTCTTCAGGCCCTGTAATGTATGCCACAGGGCCTTGCTGCAAGGAGTTTGCTGTGTTAGCAGGGAGAGAATATGAGGTAGAATTTATACTTGTACCTCTGCTGCAATATCCGCTTTCAACAGGTGCCTCACTGAGCATTAATTCATCATTTTCCTCAAGACTTGCCAGAAGCTCTTCATCAGAAGGACCAAGACTTTGGCCAACTTCATCAAGTGGTTGCGGAACCACACATTCCCTAGTATTTGATGCAACAACATTAGGGACATTTTCATCTTCTTTCCCAAGAAGTCTAAGAAGAATTCTTTCTCTACCATTTTCTCCCATGAGACCATCCACTTCACCTCCCAACAATTTCACATTTTCTGATTTAAGCAGGAGGACACCTAAACGATACACAACCTTCCCTTGTATCATGACTTTTGTCCCTGGAGGGAGATCGCAATGGAGAACAGGGACAGGATGGTATTCCATAGCTTGAATGTGATGTACACCATCGGTCAGTTGCAACATCAGCATTCGAGAAGGCTTTGCCTCCCAGGGTCTCAAAGTTCCTTGTGTACTGTTAGTAATTTCCTCATTTGTAGTATTCTTCCCTCTCAACTTTTGCAATTGAGAATAAGCAGGCTGGCTGACGTCAACAAGTGAATCGATCTGTATGGAATAAAAGCCATTCAGTTCTCCTTTTGGATCATTTAAAATGCGATCAGGAAGAACAGGATGTTCGAGATCCCTGAGATCTGTTAGAAGCCATTGCTCAAAAACTTGTTTATTAAGAGAAGCTTGGGCCAAATGTAAACCACCATTTTCTTGTTGAATCCAATCAATGCAAGCTTCTATCCAACGTGCTGGGACCTTCACATGCCATGTAGATGATAGCCAGGTTTCCACTCTTATTGCAAGAGATGATGCAGTCATTTTCTTTGGTGGTAATGGGGAAATTTGTGAATACCCTGAAAATAAATAGAATGGTATCTGACTAAGTGTGCATATCTCAATACAGCTTTCTCCAGCAAAAGAAATGTAACACAGCACTATAGTGTTTTCTGATGTTAATGTCAGATACATGTGCTATTTTATTTACATCTATTTATATCCCATCATTCACACAAAAATATCCTAGGGTACAGAACAATATTAATATAATACACAGTTTAATAATTTTAAAAGAGTATACTACAACACATTCAATGAAGCCACTTATATTCGCCTGATCACTTGCATTTCCAGGGGTTACACTGGATCTACACTGCCATATGAGGCAGTTAAACTGCACTATATGGTAGTATAGATACAGCTCCTTTCTGCACCAAAAGGCCATTGGCATCAGGCATACCTCTTTAAGAAGGCACCACTATGGAGAAAGCTGTATCCCATGTCACTGTCTGATGTCTTATCACTTGATATCACAAACTCCTGAAGATAGATGTTGTCTAATGGCAAGTTCTAACAGCTCTCATCAGTTTTCCTAATGGCAAAGAATGCTGGAATGTGCATTTCCCCAAAATATTGGCAGCAGCAAAATTGCCAGGCCAATAACCAAGTATTGCATTTCTCTAGAATAGGAAAAGCAATGCAGTGGTGTGACAGTAATACAGGGATGCTTCATGTTCCTCTGGTACCAGAGGAAGAAATAACATGGGGTGCACCTATATGTAGAATTCATGCAGCTTGACACTTCAACTCTCATGGCTCAATGCTATGGGAGCTGTAGTTCAGCGAGGTGCCAGCACTTTGCCAGAGAAGACTAAAGGCCTTGGCAAAACGACAAGTCCCATAATTCCACAGCACTGAATCATCGCAGTTAAAGGGGAGCCAAACTGCATTAATTCTACAGTGCAGATATATCCAAAGATGCATACCCAAGGAGATGGTCATCCTGTAGATCTGAGGTACAAAAGGAAGCCTCATTATTTTTGTGAAATAGCTACATTTATTAATTAATTCGTAGCATTTGCTTGTTACAAGTTGGGGAAAATATATGTGATCTCCCCCCCCCCCCCCGTCTAAATCTCAATTCATTTTCAAATCATTTTATTAATTGTAGTTTTAACAGGGTGTCCCAAGTTACATTTGCCTGGACCTCTATTTTAGCATTTGTCTTTATTTTGTGGAACCTGAGGCCCTGTCTACACTAACCATTAAACCGCAGTCTGAAGTTGGCTTCTAGCTGCCACGACCTAAATCAAACTCCCACAAAAGGAAGCCCATAATACATATCAGTGCTCAAGGCCCCATCTACACTGCCATATAAGGCAGTTTCAGAGTGCAGATTAACTGCATTCCAAACAGGCCCTATATTCCAGGATCTGATCCCAAGTTTTCTGTGTATCCCAGATTATCTGGCAGTAGGGACTCATATAATCCAGTTTAAAGCAGAAAACCTGGGATCAGATCCCAGGATATAGGGCAGTGTGGAAGGACTCCAAGAAGGCTTTAAACCAAAGGCTTCTTGCAATATTGGTAGCTGATAGAGTGCCGCCTTTACTTTCTGAAAGCTTAATATACCAGACATTTGTTTTATGAACAAAACTATTTATGTGTATAAGTCTATATAAAACATACATGAATTTTGGGTTTAAACTTAGATCTTATTTCCAAGAAATCTTATTATGTAGGTATATACAGCCCTGGGTTTTACAGAAGTGGGTTGTTGTGAGTTTTCCGAGCTGTATGGCCATGTTCCAGAAGCATTCTCTCCTGACATTTTGTCCACATCTATGGCAGGTATCCTCAGAAGTTGTGAGGTAGTGTTGACTCATATAATCCAGTTCAATTTGCATTAATGAATCTACACCTGGGATGGACAAACTTTGGAGCTTCAGGTGTTTTGGATCTGAACTCCCACAATTCCTAACAGTCTACCAGCTGGGTTATTGTAGGTTTTTTCAGGCTATATGGCCATGTTCTAGAGCAGGGGTCCTCAAACTAAGGCCCGGGGGCCAGATGCAGCCCTCCAAGGTCATTTACCCGGCCCTCGCTCAGGGTCAACCTAAGTCTGAAACTACTTGAAAGCACACAAGAATCCTATCTCATCAAAAAGCAGGCCCACTCTTCCCATTAAAATACTATTAAGGTTATATTTGTTAAAATTGTTCTTCATTTTAATTATTGTATTGTTTTAAAGTGTTTGTTTTTTTTTTGCACTACAAATAAGATATGTGCAGTATGCATTGGAATTCATTTTTTTCTTTTCTTTTCAAATTATAATCCGGCCCTCCAACACTTTGAGAGACTATGACCTGGCCCTCTGTTTAAAAAGTTTGAGGACCCCTGTTCTAGAGGCATTCTGTCCTGACGTTTCGCCTGCATCTATGGCAAGCATCCTCAGAGGTAGTGAGGTCTACCAGCTGTGAAGAATTGTGGGAGTTGAAGTCCACCTGGAGTTTGCCCATGCCTGGTCTACACTGTCCATTATAATGCAGTTCAAACTGCACTGTATAACAGGTAGACGGGGCCTGTGGTTGGATCTACACTGCTATATAATCCAGTGTCTGAATCCAGATTATCTGTTTTGAACTGCATTATATGAGTCTACACTGCCATATAATCCGGTTCAGGGCATATAATGTGGATCAAGAAACTGGATGATATGGTAGTGTAGGTGAGGCTTGAGTCATCCCCACCCAGGCCTCATATTGGTTCCTATGTAACCATCTGCACAGCAAGACCACTTTCTCCAATATCGATTTGAGACTGCGACCAGTGGTGAGTGTGGACGGGGCCTAGGCCTCTCCCTCCCCACTCCCTGCCTCCCCCCATTGTGAGGCCCAGCCCCAACATACTGTCCTGGAAGAGGCTCGCTTGGCGTCCCTCCGCTTCCTCTCTCTCTCTTTCTCTCTCTCTCTCGCCTCCCCTTTTGTTTTAGGCGCCAAAGTGAACTCAAGGCCCGAGCTCCGCCAGGCTCGCGAGAATTGGCTCGCCCCGAGAATTGGAATTTGCTCCGCCGCCATTTTCTCTCTCCCCTTTTCTCTCTCCTCACGCCGAGGCCCTGAGGTCAATTCCCTTCTCCTGCTTCTCAGGTCCCCCAATTGAGAGACTGGACAACCACTTCCATTTTTTTGAGAAACCATTGTTTATCATTATTATTACTATCACAAGTAAGTCTCGCGCGGCATGCCATTTCAATAATCGGGGCGGCGGCGGTGGTTTGCGGAAACGAGGGAGACGTCGTCTGCAGCGCTCTCTTCTCTGAGGGATGAGGCCTAGTCGGGTGGCTGGCGTCCTTCACGGTGGGCGGGATTTCGGGGGGGGGGAAATCAAAAGGACAGGGCCAACAACCAATAGGAGCGCGGCGCGGAGGGAAGGGGGCCAATAAGAAGGCGGCCGTGGTTGCTGTGGGTGCGCGCGCGCGTCTTGCTGTAGGAATCCGTTTCGCATTTCCAGAGGCGGATTCAGCGGAGTAAGTAAGGAAGGAAGAAAAGAAAGCAGGGATCAGTTGAGCGGGTGGGGGACTAGAAAATGATTTCGTGTCTATGCAGATATGTATATAATGTGTCTATTTGGGGCGTGAAGGGGAGAAAGTATGGCGTCTTCAGGGGAAGGGGGTGGTCTTATTTCGTGTCTCGGCCTCCACTTTGGCAGTGCAATGAAGCGCCGCTTGGTTTGCGGCGGTTTCTGCAGAAATCATGGCGGGTGAGGCCGTCGAGAGGCGTTTCCGCCTCTTCTCTCTTTCCTCTCGCCCCCGGAGCCTTTCTTTCCTCCGCCACCTTCAGAGGAGAGAAGAGCGGCGGGTCTCTTTTGTGTCTCCTTTGACGGGGCTGGAGGGGGAGAGCGGCCGCCGCGTGGCGGGGCTCCTTCCGCTCGCCAGCGCCATTACAGAGCCAGAGCCGCCGCCGCCATTTTTGGTCCCGCTGCGCTCTCGCTCTCTCTCTCTCTCTCCTCTGAAAGCGGGACCAAGATTATGCAACGCCGAGGCGCCCACGGCTGTGCTCCTTTTGGGGTTCAGGACCCTCATTGGCCTCTGTGGCCCTTTCCACACAGCTATATAAACCATAATATCAAGGCATAAAATCCCACAATATCTGCTTTGAACTGGAAGATATGGCAGTGTGCACTCAGCTAACCCAGTTCAAGGCAGATATTGTGGTGTTTCTTGCCTTGATATTCTGGGATATTTATTTCGTGTATTTCTACCCCGCCTTTCTCAACCCCCGAGCGGGGACTCAGGGCGGCTTACAAAAAGGCACAATTCGATGCCTACACAATACTACTGATATAGGGCTACGCGGAAGGGTCCTCAGCACCCTTCCACACTGCTGAATGAAATCCCACATTTTCTGCTTTGAACTGGGATATATGGCAGTGTGGACTCAGAAAACCCAGTTCACGCAGCTATATAAACCAGAATATCAAGGCATAAAATCCCACAATATCTACTTTGGACTGCAAGATATGGTAGTGTGCACTCAGCTAACCCAGTTCAAGGCAGATATTGTGGGATTTCTTGCCTTGATATTCTGGGATATAGGGTTACATGGAAGGGCCCTCACCACCCTTCCACACAGCTGAATGAAATCCCACATTTTCCGCTTTGAACTGGGATATATGGCAGTGTGAACTCAGATAACCCAGTTCACACAGCTATATAAACCAGAATATCAAGGCATACAATCCCACAATATCTACTTTGAACTGGAATATATGACAGTGTACACACAGTTAACCCAGTTCAAGGCAGATATTGTGGGGTTTCTTGCCTTGATATTCTGGGATATAGGGCTACGTGGAAGGGCCCTCAGCACCCTTCCACACTGCTGAATGAAATCCCACATTTTCTGCTTTGAACTGGGATATATGGCAGTGTGGACTCATATAACCCAGTTCACACAGCTATATAAACCATAATATCAAGGCATAAAATACCACAATATCTACTTTGAACTGGAAGATATGGTAGTGTGCACTCAGCTAACCCAGTTCAAGGCAGATATTGTGGGATTTCTTGCCTTGATATTCTGGGATATAGGGTTACATGGAAGGGCCCTCACCACCCTTCCACACAGCTGAATGAAATTCCACATTTTCCGCTTTGAACTGGGATATATGGCAGTGTGGAGTCAGATAACCCAGTTCAAGGATTTTCTGCCTTGATATTCTGGATTATATGGCTGTGTGGAAGGGTCCCGAGCGCCCATCGACGCACTAACCATTTCAAACCAGTGTTGAATGAAGTGCTTTTGCTGTGCAGATGATTACACAGGGAACCAGTTTGAGGCCCGCATGGTGGTTAGACAACCCCATGGTGCTTTCCCATGCTTTGGTGAGCGTTGGTTGTCTGGCCACAGTGCATTAAATGGTAAGAGTAGATGGAGCCTGAGGCTCTTTCTACACTGCCATATAGAATCCAGAAGTAGATTATATAGCAGTCTAGAATATATTCATAATCCAGTTCAAAGCAGATAATGAGGATTATCTGATTCAATAGGCCAGATTTGATAGACCCCTTCTACTGCCAGATTATATGGCAGTAGAAGGGGTCTGGGTTTTCCTGATTCGAACTGTTTGGGACCAGACGTTTGTCTGGTTTTGATTACAGGCAGTCCCCAAATTACAAATGTGGATAAGACAGGAGTGAGAGGAAATCTACCCCTAGGAAAGAAAATCCACTTTTTGCAGGGTATGGCATGGCAAAGAGTCCCACAGAAGGAATGAAGTCTGGGGGCACTTCCACACAGCCATATAACCCAGAATATCAAGGCAGAAAATCCCACAATATCTGCTTTGAGTTGGGTTATCTGAGTTCACACTGCTATATATTCCTGTTCAAAGCAGAAAATGAGATTTTCTTCAACTGTGTGGAAGGGCCTTGATGCACCAAAATCCGGGAAGGGAAGAAGAACAAAAACTATGTTCTTCTATGGGGGCAAAAAAGTACAGGCAGTCCCCGAGTTACGAACACCCAACTTACAAATCACTCATAGTTAAAAAGGGATTGAGAGAAATATATTCCACAGAACAGGAGTTCACTCCTGCAAGTGTTATTATGGAGAAATTGTGTATCCACAGAAACTGCATCACCTATCCTTGTTTCCACAACAAGCCACATTTTTGAAAATCCAATTCTTACAGGGATAGAAAGTGCGGGGAAATTTTCTGAACAGGGGTACAGACAGCAAAACAAACACTGTGCTATACAAAGAAAATATTTGGATGGAGTTACGCTTTAAAATGTACCTGTTTCAACCTACATGCAATTTCAACTTAAGAACAAACATGCGGACTGCCTGTATTTGTATATATGTAATGAGATCCCTTGGGACCCATCTTCGATGCAGTTTGAAGCTATTGTTATTTTATACTAGCTTTGTTTATATCCTGCGTATTTTTCTCCATAAGGACTTGAGGTATCTAATAACCACACAATCTGATAACAATTTAAAACAAATACAGAGAATTTTTTAAAAAAGCAATTAAAATACTAGTGGGTGGGTATAAAATTAAAATACAATAAATACATTTAAGATTATATTTAAAACTCACAATCTCACCCCTTCCCACCCACAACCTCCCCAGCAGTGCGTCCTGTATCTCCCCCCAAATGCCTGATGGCACAGAACTGTCCTTACCTACTTTAGGAAGGCAAGTAGGAATGGAACCATCTTAGTCTTTTTTGGAAAGGAGTCTGAGCAGCAATCAAAAAGGTTGTTCCCTCCAAACACGCTTGCTTACTACATAGGAACCAGTTTAAGGCCTGCATTGTGGTTAGGCAAACCAGTGTGCCCACTGCAGTTTCAAACTGCATTAAATGATCAATATAGATGGGGCATGGATTTTTCCGATTTGAAATGCCTGGGGCCAAAAGTGTGCCTGCTTTTGGATTATTTGTGTATATATAATGAGATCCTTTGGACCCCATCTACAATATAGTTCAAAACTAGGGAACAAACTCCCACAAAAGCTATTGAAGGAAATGTGCACCAGTGTTCTGTGGTTTAAGCCTCAAACTGGTTCAAGGATTTCCTATATAATCTGCACAGCAAAACCACTTTCTTTAATACCAGTTTGAACACTACATTAAATGATCTTTGTAAACGGGGTCTTGTTTTCATTTGCCTCCCCTTGACTTACCCTAATTTGAAATGTTTGGAACCAGAAATGTTTCAAGTTTTTAGATATTTGTGTATATATAATGAGAACTCTTGGAGACTCGAGTCTAAATAAAAATTCATTTATTTTATATACAACCTGAAAGTGATTTTGTACACAATGTGCATGAAGTAAAATTTTGTGTACTTTGAAGTATCAGAAAGCAAAGGTGCTACTATCTCAGGCACCCCTGGGGACAGTTTTGGAGCATTACAGATTTTAATATAAGGAATCCTTAGACCAATACGTTTTTGCTGCAAAACCAGGTTAGCCATGAATCGTTGGACTCTTTCATTGGTTACGTTATAGTCCACTTTGGCAACAGCTTAAGGGACAGAGGAGAGTTGGCTATCCTTTTTGTTGTAAGAGAGAAAATTGTAGCTCATGGCTTCATGCCTGTGACAATACTCTTTCCCACGTTGAGCTATGATTGAAAAACTATAATTTTGCTTCAGCATTGTCTGTATGATACAGCTGTTGCCTTAACTCCTTGCATTGCAAATTAGTAGGGTTATTTATGATGGATCCTGAACTTGGTTTCAACACGCTGTGATTGGGAGATTTGAGCAGGTTTGAAGAGGTTGCACCAAGCACAAAAAATAGAATGGACATGTGTTTAGGTTAAGCTGGATCTACACTGCCATATCATGCACTTTGGAGCTGCACTATATGGCCAGTGTAGACCCATTTAACACAGTTTGACTGCATTGAACTGCATTATATGGGCCTACACTAACCATATAGTACAGATTCA